ATTTATATTCACAAATTTCCTTTCGACGCTGAAATTAATAATAACAATTTTATAGTTTACATGGTTTAGAATTTTGTTCCTTTATTGTGACTTTTCTCTTACTTTTTTTACACATAACCACAATAAAGTTTAATTGATAATCAGAATTACATCGAAACGCTTTAGAAAATCGGCAGTAATTCAAGTTGTCATCGGATATCTTGTTCAAATTTTTTCTTGATGTAGGGAGTATGTATGTCTTACCTCGGCCCAAACCACATTTGTAAACAGGCGAAAAGCAAAATGTTAAAGCGAGTTTTGTAACAATGAAAATATGTCTGTGGTCTTAATATATTTCTGTCCTTCTCATGTTTTGAAGTTCTCAAACTGTAATTTCCTAAATTATTCCTTAGTGTCAATGTTCGTGTAACGCTTTCCAACAGCATAATATCATGATTATGCTTTTTCTTACTATATTATTATTAAAAACGCTTCAGTGAAATCGTTTTAAAACTCCGCGACGAATGTGCCTCATTTTTGATGGAAAGCTCTTAGGACTCAATGTGATATTTTGCGTATATATGAAAAGCAGGGAAGGTAAAAAAACGATTTCAAAACTTACTATTGCTGTACAGTTCAGTGTCTGAGGTTTGATTAAAAAAAACTGTAACACTCTTCGCCTCTGCCGTGTATTTGACTGGAAACTTCAAGGTCCCATCGAGCATCTTCTGCAGAGTAGAAAGGAATAAATATTGGGAAGCGAATACAATGACTTCAAGTCATTAGAATATAGCTGCCAAGCCGATATTGCCTACTGCCCAAAGCTATTTGTTCATTAAGTGTGATTGCCAACAGCCGTTGAAACAACTTCACGATAATGAAGATTGTTCACAAAGTTTTCTCTTCCAATTTAGAGTCGACCCAACACCACCTCTATAGAATTTGAACAACTCTTTTTGCAATAATAGTACTTTTGGGCCGGCCTTGAGCGCTAAGTCAACTAACCTTGGAATATTTCTTTTTCTGTAGATACCGAAAACTTCGAATCTGTTTGACGATAAACAGATAAGACTACTTCGTACATTTCATTATGGGCCAATCACGGAGCGCATAATAAAAATGAAAAGATGATGGGATATTATCATCAAATACTTTGTTTTAATTTGTTTTGCTTAAGAGGTTAAGACTCTCTCAGTGAAGTCATATTAAGCGAACGAAATATGAAATACATCCTTGGATCTGTCTAACCAACTGCGGTTTTAAAAATAATGCTTGAGAACAATTACCTTGTTATTTTGAATTTAACAGAAAGAAAACAATTAACCGTACCGTTTTATTGGTTTACGATCATGGAAACAACAGCATGCTCTCAAGAATTGTATTTTTCATTCGTTGAATATGAAACGACGATAGCCAGCAAGACACCATGTCGTTATTATTAATCTGACGTCATTATTATAGTTAAGCTGAATTTTCAAGCCATCAGTTCAAAGATCGCTGACAAACCACCTTCACCTTTATTATATTTTTGTCTCTAGTTGAATAAAAATATTTAACTAAAAAAGGAAGTTTAAGTAAAAATTGCTACCTGTGTGACACAGTAAGTAAGTTTCGATTCTGCCAAATTTTGTAAACAACCTTAAACAATTGTTATTGTTGAAGTTAAATTTTGATTAAGACTATCAGTTTAGTTCGTTTTCCTCCAGCTAGGTTATGCTTTTTTATTCAATTTCCCCCTAGCCAATAACTCATAATGTCTAAGAAATGTTTTTAAAAGCATTGCCAAACTAGGAAATCAACGAGATGCATATATAGTAGAAATAAAAAATTAATCGCAATACAAGCATGTTTTCACTCTTAAACGAGGATATGCTGTATTTTTTATTGTAGTTTTCGTGTTGTGTTACAAGTAGCTAACTCCCACCATGAGTAATTCAGCGTTGAAACTTTAGATTGAGAGGTTTTTTCAATACATGTAAGTATATGGATCAGAAAATTATGCAAATGTTACGCACAACGATAACACTTTTAAAATGTTCACATAAAATGGAAAGACAGAAAAGCGTCCGCTTGGCTAAATTAAAACATATAATACCAGTCGAGACTATCATTAACAAAAGTTAGTACTCTCAAGTTTGATTTTGATGACCTTCTGATGTTAACAATTGCTATTATAATGTCAGAGAACTTTTAATTCTCAAAGCGATTTGCACCAAAGAATATGAACAGATGGTTTCTTGGTCGCTGACGCATTAGCCATATTGAACAGTATATTTTTCGAAGACTTTTCCACCGGACTAAACCATAGTTATCAAAATGTTTATTCTGAAAAGTTGTCAAGAAACGTTGATAGAAAGATGGCTTTCAAACGTGGTTTTCTTATGGTCTCTTTCTGAAGATAAGTTATTGTTTTGAATCAGTTAAATATTATTCACTCAACATGAGAAAAAAATGACTAAAAAATGTATATCAACGGGCAAAGGACCAATTATTTCAAGACGTAAAATTGACAAAAAAAAAAGGTCAAAGTAATGCTAGAGGTGGCTGACAACGTCCGAGAAANCTGTATTTCTTATTGTAGTTTTCGTGTTGTGTTACAAGTAGCTAACTCCCACCATCAGTAATTCAGCGTTGAAACTTTACATTGAGAGGTTTTTCCAATACATGTAAGTATATGGATGAGAAAATTATGCAAATGTTACGCACAACGATAAGACTTTTAAAATGTTCACATTAAATGGAAAGACAGAAAAGCGTCCGCTTGGCAAAATTAAAACATATAATAACAGTCGAGACTATCATTAACAAAAGTTAGTACTCTTAAGTTTGATTTTGATGACGCTCTGATGTTAATAATTGCTACTATAATGTCAGAGAGCTTTTAATTCTCAAAGCGATTTGCACCAAAGAATATGAACAGATGGTTTCTTGGTCACTGACGCATTTGCCATATTGAACAGAATATTTTTCGCGGACTTTTCTCACCGGACTGAAGCATAGTTATCAAAATGTTTATTCTTAAAAGTTGTCTAGAAACGTTGATAGAAAGATGCCTTTCGAACGTGGTTTTTCTTATGGTCTCTTTTTGAAGATTAGTTATTGTTTTGAATCAGTTAATATTATTCTCTTAACATGGGAAAAAGATGGCTAAAAAATGTATATCAACGGGCGAAGGACCAATTATTTCAAGACGTAAAATTGACATAAAAAAAAGTCAAAGTAATGCTGGAGGTGGCCTACAACGTCCGAGAAAAAGGAGGGTGAGCTTTGTACTTCTAATTTCGTTTCTCATCAGTCATTTGCAAGGGTTGTGAAAAAAATTATATCTGAGAGAAATGCGGTTACTCGTTGCAGGATTTTAAAAGGATCATATTAAAAGAATGCTAAAATATCCTGATCTAGCTTTCACTTACCTCACAGAATTTAAAGAATTTGAGTTTCTTTTGGTACTTCGCTCAATCTCTGTGTTTTAAAACAACCAACAGTTCATCAAATGTGATCTGAATATTAAAATGAAAATACAAATTGGTACTCTTCGTTTGCAGATAATGTCATTAACAAATGCCAATCATGCGCGCTGACGAACGTTTTGTAGCAAAGCGAAAGATAACAACGCTCCTATTAAAGGCACAAAAAGATACATCATCTATATAAGCCAATCTTGAACATTTCTGATTCTTTTTGGTTTTTTGGGCGTGTTTTTTGTTTTGTTTTGTTTTGTTTTGTTTTTTGTTTTGTTTTGTTTTTTTGTTTTTTTTTGCTTTTGGCTCAAAAAATAAATGAAATTTTATTTTATTGCTTCAAACTTCATCCCGATGTTCCTACAAGGATTTTTTTTTTTACCAAATAACACATCCGATGCCGGAGGCCCGTGTCAAATAGCTGTCAGCTGAAAGCTTCCTAACTCAAACACTAGCACTAGACAAATTAAAATGATTTTTTTTCAATCGACCAAAACAACCAAATTGAAAAAGCAGTCACAAATTACACTCCTACAAAAAAATTGAAAGGTTCCAAAATTTGATAAACTATTTGCCTGCTTTAGTAACCTTTAAAAGAAGAAACGTATGGTGTTAAAGACTAACTCTCTTCGGTATTATAAACGTTATTGAATTGAGCGTCTGTAATTTGCATAACTACTGGAAATCTTAAAAGCAGCTTTCGTCATAGCATCGGATAAAGGTGTCGTGCGAGACATCGGTTGACTTGGAAATGATGAAGACGAAATGAATTCATCGTCGCTGGGTTTTTGTTTTATCCTTTGATCATTTGTTATTTATTTATTTTTGGTCGATTAATTCAAGTTAAAGGAAAAAGTGTCCCCCTGGTCTTCCTTTCATGTTTTTACCAAAGCAGTGTAGCTAAACCACCTGTATTAAATTTAAAGTAAATAATAATAATTCATTATTTCCATTGTTGAAAGGCGAGGTACGTGTCACTATTAATCACTGTCAATCTAGGTTAGCGCAGTGTTGAAAGTAATATATCAAACTCGAAAGACCGTGTTTGACCACCTTTCCAAACACGGAGAAAATACGACGCGTGGTGGAGTTCTGTTTGGAAATGTGGTCAAACACGAGAGTTTTTGAGTTTTTCATATATCTTCTCAATTTGAGTTTTTGATATATCTTCTCAATCGAAACTTAAACTGAGGAGAAAACGGAGGCTTAAATTCTTAAGAACCTATGCTAATTAGATCAGAAATCCAAACACCTTCTCGATCATGATTTCCTTTGTTTAAACTTCGTGAATAATTAATTGGTTTGAGAAAGTCATATCAAATCAAAACACGAGTGCTTAAACCAGCCTTGGAAAACAATTGATCAATGAAAACATTCATTGAACACAAAAGATGGCGAAATTTATATTTTAATAGTTTTACTTTAACATTCATCTATATGTACATGTAAAAGGATTCTTTTTATAAGGGTACTTTTGAGCTTTTTCATATATTGGTGTTTCCAGACAATAAAAATTGAATAGAAAAGAACGTATTTCACGAAATAGAGAAACTACATGGTTTAGTACGCCAACATGACTACAGTGACGTTATATAAAATTGCTTCATTTTACAATAACATTAAGAAAAGCATCACTGTCTGATGTAATTCATAATTATGTCGATATCTCAGGTTAAGCAATTATTGCGTGTTAAGAACAACTTATTTTGGTCCTTGATCAGCTTCAGGAATATATTGATAACCTAGAGATTAGTGTACTTTTGATCTAAATTGTTTAAAAGAACAGATAAATTTCCATTTCATATTATCGCAGCTGTGCCCAAGTGATGTATTTTGCACTTTCGATTGTAATTGTTCATGAAGTTTTGTACATGCCCGACGGACACATTTAATGACGAATACTAGAGCAAAACCGCGCCGTCCAGTGGATCTTAAAAATACGCTCATTTCAAAAATGCATTCACGTAACCCTGTAGAGAGGACTCGTTTAAAGAAACAGCATCTTTTGCTACCAACCTTGGAAATTTGAATTCTGAACTTCTGATTAAAAAGCTAATGCGTTTAAAATCTCAAATATAAGTTCGTGTCTTTGTAAAATTTATAAAGCTGATTTCAAGAGGACCTAATTTAAAATATTCCGTCAACGTGTAAAGTTTAGTGCAAATATCATCAAACATCAAGCCTTATTATCTGTCTCCGTCAACCTAAGCTGAGCTGTGAACCTTGAGAAATGAATAGCTTGTAAAAAAAAGAGCTACCTATTTGAAACCTTGAACATCGAATTACTGGCACAAAATCGTGTGGCATACGAAGTTAACAAGCTTAATAGTACTATCAAGCAAACATTCATACACACATACATGCATACATAAATACGTAAATAAAATTCATAAGTTAGATTGCAGCCGATGGAAATTTTGATTTTAATATGTTTCATTAACGTGTAAAATATATTGCAAATGTTGACCATGAATTTCACAACATTTGTTGTTTTGTGATTTTCTACTGAGCCCTCAGCGCACAATATTGTAACCCTGGAGAGATGAATCGCCTAAGCAAGTACAAAAAAATAGCTACCAATATTAGAAACATGGAAATGAAACTGCCCTTTACAATATTATTCACTTACACCAAGAAGTAATGTCTTGGGGCAAAATATTGTTCACCGTCTTCAATTTGCTCTTAACAATACCGATAATATATGATAACTTAATGAAGT